CAAGAATATCCTGAGGATACTGACCCATTTGCACCCACCCATCTTATTAGGTCAACCAAATGTATTCAGACTTGGCCTTGCACCCGGACAGAGGTAGTTTCATAGGCTGTGGAGCCCCCACACCACACAACAGCACTGACACCTCCAGCATTTGTTTCTCAAGGGTATCCACATTACGTCGGCACTAAGATTCACCATATCTTGTTTTTCGTATGGCTTTGATGCATCTTATATGACATCTTTATAAATAAGCCAGACAAACATGATCTAGAAGGAAAATCTATACAGTAGCAACGTAAAACCATAGTCAAAGGAGTAGCTGGTGGTTCAGAAGTAAACTGGTAAAATTATCAAGTAAGACCCTGAAGGAACCTGCTTAAAGTCAAACCAGGGAGTGAAGGAGGGCCAAGCACTTCTGGGATAGGGATAGAATCCTAAATTATCTTGAAAAATTAAGAAATTCTTGAAAGAGGGCAACACACAAACCAACCAACAAAAAAAAAAAGTATTTAACCCAGCAGGGATTAGTCGGTAAAATACGCTTCACAAGTGCAAATCCAGGAAAATTGTGTAGCCAGAAGTACTGCAGAAAGGATCTCAAGTTATAGGGGATCATAAACTGAGTGCTTAGTGCTTTGTGCTTTCAGGAGGCATGCCAAAATGGGAGGGGTGACTTTCTTCTCACATTTTTTCTTTGGAGGCTCCCATGCTTAGGTGCTTAGTATTTCAGGTCTAAAAGGCAGTTTATTTTGCATTATGTCTTATACATCTCATATTCATAGGCTCGTCTTCACCCATCCACCATTAAACAAGTATTTCATTAACTGATTTTTTTTTTTGAGGTGTTATGCACCTTTTCCACAGCTTACACAAATAACCTTCCCATGTGTATGCTTAAGATACAAACTATACTGACATATTGCTTAGAATATTTTGTAAGATGGGATTCTTTTTTTCTCTGATCATTAATTTTAAATAGTAAATCTCTTAACTCCTACAAGGTTAAAAGGACAGGTCAAGGTGGTCAAGACTGTGGCCCTGTTGACTTGGGTTCCGCCTTCAAATTTGATCTCTGCCTCTCCCAAAGAATGAAAGTTTAGAAGGCTGCACTGGCTTTAGCAGTTTTGTCAGAGAATGTTCTCTAACAAACAGAAAGTATCTTCCTCCCCATTATACATATGTCAGCTCTCTAGCTAATGGGGAGGGGAAGCTTTCAACAGTTAAGCCCATCATTACAATAGCAACAAGGTATTCCTGCACTACATAACTAATTAGCGACCCAAACATAAGTTGTTTTGCTCCTTTTGAATTATCTTCTGATAGTACTGCTAATTAGATGGCCAGGCATATTTAAAACAGCAGAACTGTCTGCAGTGAAACAATTATTTTAGCATCCACAACTGCCCATGACAAAACCATGAATTCTTCCCTGGATGTCAAAAGACTTCACCATTCCTCAACAGTCAAAACCCTCAAACTCTCCAGTGACCACACCTGCCCAGCAACACGACCTCCCCAACATGCAAACACACAGGACACTGAATTTGCACAACTCTATACTGGATCAATGATCCCTGTTTTCATGTATACGTGGATAATAAACTGCAAAAAGTCCTTTTTAACATTCAGCCAAAGTGTCGAAGTATTTCCGGTTTCTCTCAAAAGTTCAGCTACAGAATACAAAGCCAACAAGAACACATGCAGTACTTTTCTAGCAACTTGCATATTTAGTACCGACTTTGAACCTGAAGGTATATTTGAATAGAAAAATATTGTGGATTTTGGTCTGACTGCTGTTCCAACACACATTTTATAATTAATAGTATCTATTTCCTAATACAGTACTTAGTTTCAGTGCGATGCTTATCTTCCCCACAATTACTTACAGCTCTATCAGCCCTTACTGGTCTTCCCAGCTAGTCAGTCTGCGGCTTCAAACTAGACTGCTAATAGTTTGACAAAGTTCAGTTTTTCTAAACTAGTTTCTATAATACTCAGTATTTCAGGTGAACACGAATTTGTATTATTATAGTGATGCCTAACAAAATCAAAATGCTAGTTTAATGCATATGCTGAATAAAACTCAAAGTTTAATTTGTGTATGAATAAAGGTACACTAGAAATGCTAAATGAACATTCATAGCACATATGATCATTAATATATACATCTAAGCTGTAATATACTCCCATTCCCAAGTTGAGAGAAGGCAACATCTACCCACTGTGACAGACTATATTTTAAAAGAAGTTTCCACAGAAAAGGATGGAGAGGAAAAAAAAAAAAAATCACTGAAAACAATCGTCAGTTACGTATCAAAACAAAAATCCCAAACCATCAGAACAGTCCAAGCGTTCTTTGCTAAGTCACTTGAGTGAACCCAAACATGTGATACTCACAAAACAATAGACAAATACATAATTGAAAAACCTCTGGTGACATAGGGGTTTTGGAGACACCTTTGCTAATTTAAAGGGAAGGCTTCATTGCTCTTGTAAAGTTACTTAACACAGTAAGTCTAGAACTATCCTGGATTTTTCTCAAGTTCAATCATTTAGCTGGGAGCCTGCAGATCAGACTGAACTTGAACTGTGTCAAACCATGAGGCTCTCCTTCCTGGAAGCACATCAAGGTTCTTGCATGAAATCTGATCATCAGCAGAGTAGGATTAATGACAGAGGTGGTCAGGCTGATAAACTAGCAGAACAGAAACCCGCCTAATAAGTATGGAACTGCATCTAGATAAGGTCGTAATGCATTCTCACCCCTTTGTGCCAAAACTGAAGCGAGACCTTGTTTGAAACTCATGTGAAAGAAAAGGCTTTATCACTCATTGTCTCCCTGCAGGAGGTCTGTGGTTGTTTCTGGGAAAACAGACACTAGATACTCAGACTACTACCATCAGTCTCTTAGAGTAATGCCACTGATTGCAGACTGACACCATGCGATGTCTAGTTTAGCTTACTGAAAGGGGAATGGCAGGGGAAGGTTTTTAAAGACTTATTTATGCACAGAAAGGTAAATTGGGTATCAGGATTTCTCTCAATCAACTAAGTTCTCCAACAGCTGTTTACCTCTGTGTGCCAGTACCTGACTAAACCAAGTGCTCTCTTAAAAATAAGATAAGGTCTTAATAAATCAATTACTATGCATGCTGGAAAACTACCTTTACTTTTACCCACTTTTTTCCCCACCTACTTTTGTTTCCTAAAGATCAATAATACCATACCTTTCTGCTGGATATGCAAGCACCTTGCCTCAAGGCGCTTCTCTGTGATGTCCCTCACCAACGCAAGGCACAATATTATAGCTATGTCACCTAGTAAGTCTGTTCACAAAGTATGCAGCTATTTAACTACAACATTTTTTGAAGTCCCAACATAAATATGGCTGGCAATACCACTATAGGATAAATTTATGATCTAAGCACCGGAAAATCCAAGTATTAAAGAGGGCTAAAACCTGAATTTTCAGAATAGGGACAGACACAATGTCTAATCAGCAACACTGAGATAAATGTAAGAGAAAACTCCTCCAAGCCACAAATTCTGAAATTGACACAAACCAAGGTCTGTTATTGCTCAGTTACTTAAGGATGACCCAAGTCTACTAACCTAAGTCCTTATACACATCACAACAGCTCCACCATAAAAGCTGTAAAGATGAGTTCCAGTGGCACACGGAACTTTAAAAATCAGCTCATTTCACATTAAGAAACGTCTGGATACAAAGATATTTGCTACAAAATACATCACAAAGGTTTCTAAACAGCAAAATAAAACATGGCAACAAACAAAAAACCAAAACCTTGTTTTCAATTGCTATACAAACTGGCTTTATAAAGAGCTGACCTGTACCAAGTCTCCCAAACACCCCAAATAAAATTCTTCATGTCCACCCATTTGAAAGAATTAAAAACTTGTATTAGTGGAAATTAAATTTCCTATGTCTAGCTAAGCAGAAAAACTTCCGTGGAATGACTTGCCTTTACACAATTCATGCTTTTTGGTATTAAACCAACATAAAAATAATTTTTATTTTTTAATTCACATATCTCTTATCCGGCTTTATTGCTGTGATTAGATTTTTTGGTCTAACTTCTTTAAGAAAAGACCATATGAAGTGTCATGGAATAGACATAATATACTGCGAGATAAAGTTTTCTGGCATGTCACTGAAATGGAAATAATTTAGAGAGTGACTTTAAATGAAGTCAGGAACTAGGACAAGGAAACAAATTATTTTTGCAATGCCTGAAAGCCTGAAAGCCAACTCAATGTCCTATTCCTCTACAACAACCCTTATAAGAACAGTCAGAAGAGCCGAAATATCACCATCACTATAAAACTGGGGTTGTCTGTACAGTTTCACGAATTGCTTTACAAAGTTATTATCCACATCCCAGATTCACAGCACTGACAACACCAGATCTTCTCATTCATACTATTTCCTTCAAACCAACCTCTGATTATTTGAGTTAGAGACATGGCATAACAAGCAGCAAAGGAAACAGAAGACCAGCTAATTGTATTGTGACTTCAGTGCAATAAATTTTGTGGTTTCAAATTCAGTAATCACATGTAAATCTCCTAACACGTACATTAAAGACTGTCAAAGGAATGAGTACAACCCCACAAAACTAAACTAGCTTAATTAAAAGCATTCACACTTGCATCTGAGAGAAGCAATAGCCATTAGTGTTCAATACAATACATGAATGCAAAAATATACAGCAAAGACCAAAAAAAACCAAATTTTTTTAGCTGTTACTGTTTTTCCTCTGCAAAATCCCCAGATAAAAAAAAGTTATAAAGAAACAGCTGGAAGAGTAACAGAGGAAATATTTGAGACCTGCAGGTTCTTCATCACTCGCTCATCCTGAGTGAAGCAAATACAAGAACAGTTGACTTCAGTGGAAAGTGCTTCTGCTGATGCTCTCAGACATTCTCAGCACCAAGCACGAAGCAATCGACATCAAGACAGGAAAGAACTACACACACACCTTGAACACCTCCGAGAAGAAACCAGAGCCAATTTTCTCACATGTGAAGTCATCGAGACGAGTCAGTCTGGAAAAGGCACTTATCAGGGCTCTGTAGGAAGAGGTACAAACTCTTCCGATCTGGGAGACAGTCCCTTCTCCTCCAGCGCCACCGTCAAAGTCCTCAGCGCGCTCCAGGCGGGGTGGAAATCCTGCTATTGAATTCCGCTTGCTTCGGTCCATTTTGAAAACAAGGTTTGATTTTGCTGAGGGAGGGCTTCTCACATCTTAGGTAATGTGCCGTCTTCTCTACTCTTGTTGGAGCCTAAAATACAAGAGATTGAGATTACCATTGTTGTTAAAGGTATTGAATCATTCTGCTAGGACTCCAACGCAACTTACACCAGTTTAAGGGAACAAGGAAAAAAAGCAGAAGATATACAGAATCACAGAATATTAATCGTTGGAAGGGACCCTTGAGAAACCCAAAAAAAACCCACCAAAAAACCACACCAGACCCACACACTAACAGACACAAACCAAGTAGAGGCACAAAAAAAACCCAAAGGGGAAAAAACCAAATCAACTTACACCAGCTTACACCAGTTTAAGGGAATAAAGAAAAAAAGCAGAAGATATACAAGTAGGGCCCCCCCCCCCCCAGAAAAAAAGAGGGAAAAAAACCCAAATCAACACCACAAGCAACCACACAGGATCATCAGTAAAGACAGACAATCTATTGAACTTTTCCTTCATGGAAATACCCTATGCTCTGGCTATCACAAGATGAACAGGCTTGAAACTCAAAATTTAACTGGTAACAACTTACATCCCTCCCTCCCTGACTCTTTTTTACTTGAGTTCTGGTTGCTAAAGCAAGCAACTAAGGAGGAGGAAACCCACAAAATGTAACGTTCTATTCTACTTCAGTAGCAGTCGGTGACCAATCTACTGCTATTGCAAGAAACCATTTCACTTTAGGGACTGAACAAAGGATCTGTAACTTTAAAAAAAACAGGTCAACTTTCAGTTGACATAAGGAAAATTATTAGCTGTCAATAACAGTAGCTGGAGCACCAAACCCTTTGTTTGTAACCTTCCACCTACCAGTGTTCCAAGACCAATTCCTTAACTGGTAAGAACACAAGTTCATATCCACTGAAGATCTAGCTCCCAAATTTATAAAAACATCAACAATTCCACTACAAAAACAAAGTATTCTTATAGGAAACTGCCAGAATAATTCTCCCCACAAACACACTTATAAAGCTATATTAATTTCAGTTTAACTGAAAACACAGGAAATAAGCTACATTTGCCAAGTAGGAGAAAAGAAAAAAAAAAAAAAGAGAGAAAAAGGAAGGGGGAAAATAACAGTAAGGGATTTTTTTTATTTTTAAGAGGATGATGAAGTAATCAGGATGACTCTGGAGCCCATCAAATTCAGCTTGGACTGGCAAACCTGACAGGTGGCCTACATTTTTTTTTCTTTAAGCCTGAGACTCAGGAGGTTATTCATCTTTTCCACACTTAACTGTTCATTTACAGCAATTTGGTGAACCCCTACAAAACCTGTACAAAGTGAGCAGTCACAAAGAGGATAGATGTCTCTTTTTTTTCCTGAGGGTGAATGAAAAACTGGAGGGAGGGGAAGGAAACAATAAAATTAAAAAAAAAAAAAAAAGGTAGACAAAATAATCATGAAGCAGGGAGCAGGCCAGGCAATTATACTTCTATTTACACAGATGTACAGAACCTGAACAATACACTAAATTTGAAGAGCATCTCAAAAACAGAGGCACACCAGCTGTCCTCTGAATATACAGCAGTGCTGCTATCCCATGTTTTGTATGCAGTGTATCTTTCAGAGATGCTCTGTGCCAACACATCAGAAAAACACATAGTCCTTCCCTTCCTTCAGGAGTAAGCTCTGGTGAACTGCATGGAATTAACTTGAGGTTGCCCTCTCCAAAATATAAAAAAATAACAAACAAAAAAGCCCAATCAAACAAACAAAAAACCACACCAACCCTGTATCGTTCAAGGGTGTTTATTTTAAATATCTTAACACATACCTTTCTAAATGGGAGTTGGGCAGAGGTGGCTATAAGAGAATCTGACCAGGGCCTGATTAAGAAAAATGTAATCTCTATCAAATTCCATGTCACGGTATTCATACAGAATTTTATACGCAGACTCCACACATGTGAGCTTACTGCACTTCTCAAATGATAGTACTACGTAGTCTAGAGTTATGGTGTGGCCGACTGCCACACAGAAGATCAGGATCCAATTTCTGACCTCATATTCTTGCTCCATGAGCCTTGAGGGTCTGGAAATGGTACAGAAACACCATGGGAAGATAAAGCCTGTTCTATCTCCCCAGCAGAGAAAAATAGCCCAGAGAACCTCCTCAGCTTTAGAGGAGACGCCCAGGAATTTTCAAGGCACGCTTAAATAATTCCTTTTGATCTGAAAGGGACAAACTAGCAGTCAGTTACTTTTTAAGAACATAAAGCAAGAACTGTCTATGGAAGGAGGATAGACAAGACACCATGGTGTTATCAATTCATTTTCTGGAACAGGAGATGCAAGTATCTTTGGAGACTGATGAGAAAATCCACTGTATTTGAAGAAACAATGTTTTAAAACTTATTTGCATCCGAGTAATACCCACACACACTAGACACCTTCCAAGGAAGGGAGCAAGAACTTGCCCCAGAAATGCAGAGTCTGACACTCCAGTATCACAGTAACACCATGAGAAGCAGACCCTGGAGCTTGTAGACACCCCTGCTAAATCTAGGGAAACAACACATCTGCACTGCAGCCCAGCAAATAAAGCAACTTGTAAATCAGGACTGGAAGTTTAAGTTCTCAGGCAAACCAAGATCTATGCAAAAACAAAATAGGGAAGATTGCTGTTGCCTTAACTAGAGGAAGATACCAAGTTAGGTAGGCTAACTTAAACAGGAGGAAAAGCTTAACTCCGTCTTAAGTATCCAGATACCATTAACAAAAGATCAGCTCTCAACAAAGTCTCTCAATCTATTTAACACCACCAAAAGAAAAAAGAAAAAAAAAAAAAAAATCACCCTCACACATACACATCCTTTTGATTGAAATCACATGGTGAACTTTGCAAAACTCTACCCAAATCCCACAATGAAAGAAGAGATTCAAAGTGCTTCACACAACATAAACCCCAAAAGGTTTTGCCATCTGGATTCCCCAGTAACCCATTCTCTCATTTTTGCCTGCTAGAGTTTGCCTTCTTTCCAGACAGCTACATGAAATCCTTGGAAATTATTAGGATAGAGCTCCGTTTGTCTAGTATTCTGCCCAGGATTGCATACACAGAATTAGAGAAAAATTTCAAGTGGGCACAATTCCAAGTGGGCCTCCTGTCATTTTGGCCAATTACACTAATGATCACATTCTCAATGAAATCAACCAAGGTTTAATTGACTGTCAAGTCAGTCTGAGGTACTTTAATTTACTACCTTGTGTGGTTAATTAAAGTGCACTGAACAGAATCCAAGACTATCCTGCAAATCTTGCAACCAACTAAAAGGTTGTTGGATTTTATTTTTTTTCATATTAAAGTCCAGCTTAAAAAGTCTTAAGCTGTGCTCAACAGCCAGTTAAAAAATGACACTAAACACTCTAGAAAGCATTTCCCAATAAATTCCCAGCCCTCAGACCACTTTTTCTGACACCATTACACAAGAAAAACACACTTCACTCTGCTAAGACAAAAACCTTTTAGAAATACATATCTCAAAGTGCATACCTGCCCTACTCATCCATTTATTACATTACTGAAAAGAACTATTTCAGAATGTTTTACGCCCTACCACATTTCGATTTCTTGGTTTAAAAAAACAAACCCTGGGGAAAAAAAGAAAAAAAAAAATCAAACTACTACATTAATACTATATTAAGATCAGTTTCTCCACTGCATGAATGCATTGATTTTTGAACTGTAGAAATGACCACAGATACAAACATTCTTCAGCATTTCTTCAGTTAATTAGAGGTTTGGCTTTCAAAACCAATGCCTAAGCCTGCAAATATTTAAAGATGGAATCCCCACAATGGCACATCAAGTTATAGCCCATATGTCAATGTAAAACCAACAGGTGACATATATTAGCCAGTGTTTAAGATTTTATCCATTTTTATGTCTATGAAGTCTAAGGCTTCTCAACTATAGCAGCATCCCTTTAATGCCCCAGGTCCTTCCAAAAACATTTCAATTCATTACTAAGACTTTTTTTTTGTCCCCAGTATCTTTATAAATATGTGCATATGTGCACTCAAATGTCAAACTCACAATTTCCTAAAAGATGGCCTTAACAACAACAACCATTTTTAGACACAGAAGACTGTCGCTAGGCATTCAGCCTGGAAAGCAATAAATCTGGTGGATGCATGTTATTAATTTGAAAAGGTTTTCTGAAGAACAAGATGCCAAAGCTTTGACATAAGTCATTTGCCAGGAGTTAACTGTTTAAACTCATAGTCTAATGTAGCTTCAAAACTCAGCACTACAAAAACATGAAGGAATTATGCTGGCAAGTGTCACTCGACAAAATAATAACTTGGGGGGGTGGAGGAAAAAAGGATTCACTGCAGTAATGTGCAAATTTCAGAAAAGCTTCAAAGGAATGTAAAGAACAAAATCTTTCAAAGACTGAATTGACTTTGTGGTCATTAGCCTGAGACGGGGGAGGAAAATAAAAGTTTGGGAATAAAACTAAACAGGTAAAGAGAACAATTTTGTTCTCAACTGCTGTCATCCACTTTCCTAATAGAGGAAAGTTACTTGGTTTAGCCATAACTTACTTTTCTTTGGGAGAAAAATAGTATCAAATATTTACAGGCAAGATAGCCACAAGTAATAGAGTTTGGACTATGTTTGCCCCAGCTCATCCTGAAGTTGAAGTCTTTTTGGCTACTTTTATAGGATGAGTCTTACGGTTGAATTTATAAACTTAGTTACAACATTGCACTCAAATGTGAAAATCCCAACATTTTCTATTTTCATTTAGATAACATTTTGCTTTAATTTCATCTTCCCTGTAGGGAAGAATTCCTAGCTCTAGCCAGTACTGTCACAACATAAGCTTCCCACAACAAGGGCTGACATTCCTCAGAATAGACCTGCATTAGCCCTACAACACCACTCCAGAAACTGGAAGTCTGCTAAACTGCACGGTGGTTTTATAATGCAAACAAACCTCCACGAGAGTCTAAGCTGAAACAAACAGTTCATTTATTTTGTGACTGTAGCCAAGTTTGAAAACAGTAAGGGAGACTAGCCATTAACTTACTGCAGAGCTCAGGATTCAGGGCCAAAGTTGTAGGTTTTAAAATATTTGCATCAAGCACAGACATAAATTCTGGCACATGTTTAGAAAACAAATATAACTGGGGGGAAGAATATTAAAAACCCACAAACAAACAGAAAACCACCTGATCCTTATGCCCATAGTATAATTGCCAACAGTTTCTAGGGTCCAATTATAATACAAAACTAAAACTCTACAGAAGGACCTTGAAAAAATCCATTCCTCTCCTAGCCTGGTTTTAGTCACTCCAACCCAGAGTGCAGACAGATTCTAGACCAGATAGAGAGCATGGTTAGAGTTAAATAATCACTCAAGTAGATCATGTACAATACACAGCTGCTGCTTCAAATGGATAATTTTAATATATTAAGTTTGCCTAACAAAACAGAGCCCAGTAAAGACACGAAGAAGCAGTTCATGCCTTCCAGGTGTCAGCAGGCTGACATTTGCTTAGCTCGTGAGAAAAACAAAAGGAATCCAAGCCTTCCAATACCAACAGGTACTGTAACATCTCAATAATCAGGAATTTCTCCCTCAGCCTCTCTGCCAGGTTTATGACCAAGGGCTGACAGCTCTATTAGCACTGGGGAGGGTTCACAGGAGACAGGAAGCAACTTTCCACTGGTTCTATGTAGCCAGCGAGACAATCCAGCACAGCAAAGGAAGAAAAAAGATCAAGAATGCTCGAAAGAGCAAGGAAGATTAAGTAAGCAGGCTGAATTTCATACCCGACTGACCTCTCTTGGACACAATCTTACATTTATACATCATCACACGAAGCAGTCCATATTTTTATTTTCCAGCTAAAAGTATCATCTCCACAAATATTTAGAACACATCCTGTAATCTATCCTTAAAATACAGCTGAAACACCAGTTTGTGTTACTGGTTTCATGTTACGGTGGAACAGTCAGTACCACATTTACTTCAGGTACCAGTTGCACAAACGGAACAGTAACACAGTCCTGACTAATTTATTTATGAATTTTTGAAGCAAGAACAGGGCTTCCCAAATCTGTTGTTGCTCAGGTATTGGAGACACTGGAGTCTGCTGGTATTTACATCTCAATCCCAAGCACCCTGGGTACCAAAGCCTTCAAAAGCAAAGTCATCTCAACTACTTCCACTCCTGGTTGCAAGAGCTATTACAGTTTTCCAAGGCAACCAATGGGACAATCATATAAAAAAAGGGGCTTAGCCACTACCAGAAACATGTTCAACTCAAGAAAAAGTAACCGGACCATATGAAAAGAAGCTTACTATCTGACAAGAGGACTTGGCAACAGACAACAGATGGAGCCAGTGTGACAGAGTTGCTAATTATTAGATGTACTTACTGATAAATACACAACCTCAAATGAATACATTTGAGAACCGAAAATCAGAAAAAAGGCTTAAAAAAAATAAGCTGTGAAAACTGACCATTTTTTGATGTTGCCTAGAAAAGCACTCATCTTTATGCCAGGCTGCAAAACACCATGCTGCAATGATACAATAAAAAACTTCACCACTGTGCAAAAGCATGGTTCTCAGCTACAGGAAGAACACAGAAAGGGAACCTATGATGCAAGTGAACCACAAGCTTCATTCTTTTCTGCAGCAGCCACAGAAGCAACAGTCCCGTCCTTTAACCCTGCATTTCTTTTCTGAATTTGTGAAATAATTTGCATAAAGAATTACAATGGCAAAAGAAAATTTATAGAATGAGAGGGTATAACTAGGTTACAGGAGGCCTACACCACCAGAACACCCCACTTGGACCAACTTTCTCCTTCCACAGTCACAAAAATATTAAGCACTGAAGCAAGGATTGCTCTGTCACTATCTCCTGCTCTGCTCCTGCTGCCAGGTGTTCATCCTAACAAAACAGCACAAAGCAAATTCCAAGCAAAAAACACAGGAGAGAACACACTTCCCACCAGGTACAGAGAATACATGCCTTTGCCTTCAGTTCAAGCTACTCATGTTTTGCATGCAAGTTTTACATGAAGACAAACAAAAAGGGACAATGGAATTACACAGCCCTGTCTATAGTTGTACAGTATATTTCTGAAAGAGTCAGAAAAAGACATTTTTATTGACCTATCAGGTTATGGTATGCAACAATAATTTCCAAAGATGATGACTAAATGGAAAGGTTTATGGCTAGTCCACTGGGCACATAGGAGTTTCTCATTAAAAAAAAGGCCTTATCTTAGGTTGTAAATTCCACTGCCTAATTAAGTCCATAGAACTGTAAGTCTGTTGATTTTGCAGACAAAGTACGCTAGAATTCTGGTCTCTACTGAAAATCAAAATAAATAATTTCAGTCGGGGCATAAAGGTTTCTTATAAATTAGCATAAATATTATCTGTAAGGTTTTTTTAGGGGGACAAACAGAAAGGTATAAACTTCAATAAAATTAAATTTAGGACTCTTGAAATCTTAGCTTTCAACTACCAAGGTACCGCCTATCAGGACAGGTGGAAAGTCCCCCGTACTTAAAGCAAACACAGTTCCCGCCGTCAAAGGAAGGCAACACGAAGAGGGATTATCTGCATTGACCCAGCACCTTTCATCCGAAGGCTGCAGAGCAAACATATACGCACGTACACCTGAGCAGCCGAGCCTGTCATTAAAGCATGATTCACGTCTTCTTACAGGGTAGCACTTAAAATAGCAAAAAAAACCCCCAACAAACCCGAGCACCAGCTTTCACACCGCTTGGCAAAGCGACCATTTTCAAGGTAATCCCCATGCGGCTGGGCACAGATCCCAGCCGTGCTCGGGCAGACCCTTGCCCCCGGATCAGAGCACGGGTTTCCACGGCCGGCTTTCACCCGCCGACGGGGGTGCTCGGCCGTCCTCCGGCACCCGCTTCCCACCGCCTCCCATCCCTCAGGGGCGAACGCATCCACCTGCTCACCCCAACGCATCCCACGACTCACCGCACCGCCCAGCTGCGGGCGGGAAGGGGGGGAGGTCGGCGGGACACCCCCCTCCCCTCCGCTAGAAGGCTGGGTGCCCTTCTCCGGAGCGGCCCCCTCCTCCCTCACCGCCTCTCCCCCCTGCTCCACACACACACCCCCCCCACACGGGGACCGTCCCCTCGGCAGGCGCCCCCCGCGCGCCGGCCGTTACCTGAGCGGCGGCGCCAGCAGAGCCTGCGGGCGGCGCGGGCTCTCATGGCCGCATACCCCACCGGCGGCCAACCCCCGGCCACTCAGCAACCCGGCGAGGGTCTACCCCGCCGCTGCGGCAAGCGAGGGGGCCCCATGTGAGGAGGGAGCCCAGCTGCGGGACCCGGGGCCGTGATCACCCGCGGCGGCTCCTCCTCCTCCCTCCTCCTCCTCCTCCCGCCGCCCCCGCCTCCGCCTCCGCCTCCTCACGCGTCCGCCCCCCCGCGGCGAGCGCCGCCGCCGAGCCGCCCACAGAGCAGGGGCGGCACCCGGCCAGGAACCGCCCCTTCCCAACAGCCAATCGAAGCCGGGCGTGGCCGGATGGACGGCGGCCATCGGCCAATGGAGAAAGGGAAGCCAGGCGGAGGGACTCGCAGGGAGTCCACGTGAGTGCTCCTTTGTAATTGGTCAGAAGCCGCTTGAGAGGCAGGCAGTTTGACCAACCACACGGGCGACAACAACTCCGGCGACACGAGCGGGAGCCAGTGGCAGGAGGGAGAGAGGGGCGTTGCTAAGGGCGCCTCGCTTTCACTGGTCGAGCCTTTGAGGGGCGGATTATAAATAAGGGAGTTGACCAATAGCGAGGCGGTGCGCGCGGTGACGGACGGGCGGAGGAGCCACTCCCCGTGTGTTTATGGGCGGCGTGAGGCTGTCAGAGGAGCGGGCGCTGCGGCGGGCCCCGGCAGGCCGTGCGCGGGTGCCATGGAGACGGCGGCCCGCAACGCGCCGCTGAGGCGGGTGAGGCCTAACGGAGTGTCCCGGTAACGGGCTGAAGCGCAGAACATCCCCTCTCTCCGCGTCCTGTCGGAACTGGGCGGCCCGCCGGGCCACGCCGGGCATCTCGGGCCTGCGGCGGGTCGGGCCTTCCAGTAACACCCGGCTTTAAGGTGACCGCAGCCGGGCTCCGCTCCTGCTGTAGGTATCCATAATTGCCCGGGCCCCTGATAACGTTCCCCGCAGGTTTCATCCCTTTTTCTGGTCTCTTACCCATTTCTTGTTATCCACTTCCCAGATTCACAGCACTGACAACACCAGATCTTCTCATTCATACTATTTCCTTCAAACCAACCTCTGATTATTTGAGTTAGAGACATGGCATAACAAGCAGCAAAGGAAACAGAATTGTATTGTGACTTCAGTGCAATAAATTTTGTGGTTTCAAATTCAGTAATCACATGTAAATCTCCTAACACGTACATTTAGCGTTGGGAGGTAAAGACTGTCAAAGGAATGAGTACAACCCCACAAAACTAAACTAGCTTAATTAAAAGCATTCACACTTGCATCTGAGAGAAGCAATAGCCATTAGTGTTCAATACAATACATGAATGCAAAAATATACAGCAAAGACCAAAAAAAACCAAATTTTTTTAGCTGTTACTGTTTTTCCTCTGCAAAATCCCCAGATAAAAAAAAGTTATAAAGAAACAGCTGGAAGAGTAACAGAGGAAATATTTGAGACCTGCAGGTTCTTCATCACTCGCTCATCCTGAGTGAAGCAAATACAAGAACAGTTGACTTCAGTGGAAAGTGCTTCTGCTGATGCTCTCAGACATTCTCAGCACCAAGCACGAAGCAATCGACATCAAGACAGGAAAGAACTACACACACACCTTGAACACCTCCGAGAAGAAACCAGAGCCAATTTTCTCACATGTGAAGTCATCGAGACGAGTCAGTCTGGAAAAGGCACTTATCAGGGCTCTGTAGGAAGAGGTACAAACTCTTCCGATCTGGGAGACAGTCCCTTCTCCTCCAGCGCCACCGTCAAAGTCCTCAGCGCGCTCCAGGCGGGGTGGAAATCCTGCTATTGAATTCCACTTGCTTCAGTCCATTTTGAAAACAAGGTTTGATTTTGCTGAGGGAGGGCTTCTCACATCTTAGGTAATGTGCCGTCTTCTCTACTCTTGTTGGAGCCTAAAATACAAGAGATTGAGATTACCATTGTTGTTAAAGGTATTGAATCATTCTGCTAGGACTCCAACGCAACTTACACCAGTTTAAGGGAACAAGGAAAAAAAGCAGAAGATATACAGAATCACAGAATATTAATCGTTGGAAGGGACCCTTGAGAAACCCAAAAAAAACCCACCAAAAAACCACACCAGACCCACACACTAACAGACACAAACCAAGTAGAGGCACAAAAAAAACCCAAAGGGGAAAAAACCAAATCAACACGACAACCAACCATGCAGCATCATCAGTAAAGACAGACAATCTAACGAACTTTTCCTTTAGATACATGGTGCCCTGGTGTCAGTCACAACAGAGGAGCAGGCTGCACAGAACATCCTGCTCAGCCCCTCGAGTCCCTCCCTGTAGCCTGCTTGATGCATCTCAAATTTTCTGAGGTTTTAGCTGCCAAACTGTAATAAGTCTGCTATTTTCGCATATAAACTGGTATTTTTCAAACTATAACTTATCCACATGTAGGCAGCTTGTAGCAGGTATGGAAAAAGATACCTTTCTTCCTGCTAGGACACGCTGCCAAACTTCAAGTGTCCCTTCCAAAGCACAGCAGGACTAGAACATCTCATTAAATGGTTGTAAAGGGGTTTTGGTTTTGTTTTACATTGGCAAGGGATTGATTTTTTTTCCCTGACCTCATCCTTGGCAAAGGCTGAGCTATTTTTACTGAAACTCTTCAAAAAACAAAGTTCATTTGCTGTAGAGTCTTGGATAGAATTACCATGTTTAACTGTTATCCGAACAGTTAAAAGCAGTGGATTTACAATTAAAAAGGGTCTCAGATGAGAACACATCACTCAACCATGCCATACCATATTAGAAATACATTTTCTCTTTATCCTTAATCATTAAGTTTACGTCTAATCTTTTCTAATCTTTTTGAGGGTGTTTCATGTTGGAAACATCAGCACCAACCCTACAAATAATACTGAGTGGAGATTTACCCGTCGATTAAAATTTCAACTCTGAATTTATTCATTTAATTTAGTCTCAGAATTTCACCCGAGTCTACAGTGAAACTTTCTCAGTAGATTTAACTGCAAAAAAAAATATGTAATAATTTCTACACAGGTAATAGATTAAAAGTGTTTTCTGTGGGGAAAAAAGTTGTCCTGTTTTCTTAATTTTCCTTCTCAATTTCCTTTACAGGAAATTTTCCCACACCCCCACATGTTAAATATCAACCGTATGCAAACATCTATTCTAATGACAGCTCAAACACAGGGTGCAGCAAAGCTTTTGTAATTAAGCCATTAAACAATTATTATGGTATCCATCATAATTTAATCAGTGACGGAGCAGATGGAACTACCCAGATCCGTCAGTGTCTTCTGCTCTCTGACACTCAAGCAGAACCGAGCTCCAGAATGGGGCTTTTCATCAAGACGTAAGTTTTTAGAAGTTATTTTTTAAAGTTAGGTTTCAGTGCTGTGCATTTTGCTGGGATTTACCCAAGCAAGTTTAAGAGGCTTTACAAAGCCCACCCTGGAACACCTCGGTCCCCGTGGTCGCTCGGGGTGCCAGGGTGCAGTGGTCCCTGCGGCTTTTGTACCCTGGTAATTAAACCCCCGAACCTTCTGGTTTCATCTCACTGCTCCCGCCGCATCCCTTCCTCTGAAAGCTGGTTTGGAAGCCATTCGTTAGCTTCAAGGTGACATCTGGTGGTAGGTTTTTATTATTTCTCCTTCTGGGAGCTTATCCCAGCGCTAGAGCGAGTAAATTATCTTTCCCCCAGCTTCTCGTCATAAATTTCACCTCTTTTCTGCCTCCCAACCAAGAGGCACGTTGTCTCTGCTTTTGGCCTGCGAACGTCTCGCTGGTAATATCCAGGAATAAGCATTTATCCCACGGGCTGGTGCAAAGTAACGTCATTAAAGCACGTCAGTCTGATTCAGTAAAGTTCCATCTCAGTGGGAAACACTCATAGCGTGTTCTGTACAACATCGCAGGAGGTCCCATGATGTATGTCATTAATCACCCCTGTTTCGAGAGGGAAATAAGATCGTCTTATGACCCCTCCCACGGCTGTATCTCAAAGGCGAGGCCTACGGTTTGAAAGCAGAGGAACATGTGTTTTGCTGGCGACCACGTGTGTTTTGTACATCAACAGCAGAACCTTTGTCTGAGAAAGTCCCCCGTCCCTCCTCGCAGCTGGCAGAAGTGCCCCAGCAAATCCGGGGCCTTAAAATCTGCAGAGTAGGAGCGGCTTTTCCAGTCTTCCTCTGCTTCCCGGAGAGAGGAACATGAACGTTGCATTAGAGGACTCATCAAAGAGAGTCATCAAAGGCGAAGCCGTGCAGATGTCACGGCGTACTTGGTTCTAGCCACCTCTCTCTTTGCATCCCAGAAGGGTCACGATGACTGTAAATACCGCAGGAAGCTCCGCTCCCAGCGGGTATTCCCCTCTCCTCCCGCTGCCCCCCGGGGCTGCTGCCCCGTGCAAAGATCAGCCGCTCCAAAAAGCAACTCTGTGGCTTGTGGTTTGCTCCTCTCTGCTCTCGCACTGGCTCTCCTTCCTCCCCAGACAGATCACTTTGGCTTTTTAAATGTAAACCGGTTTGGCAAAAGAGCAACCAGGGGTTAACTCACAGGGTGGCAACAAAAATAGACCTGAGAGAAGTTGGGTGAGAGCAGAAAAGAAGGGGAATTCCCTTCCTCTGGGCTTTGGAAATGCCCCAGAGGCGGAGAAGTTCTGGGACATTTCTCCTTCCCAAGGAGAAAGATGCTGCAATGTAAGCCACGCAAGTTTCCTCCACTGTAGCAGAGCAGGTGTTTTCCCCCACAGAGGGGTTTCGTGGGCTTCAGAATTAAACAAGTGTCAGGCAACAACGGGCTGTCTCTCTCCCCTCCCAGGGGACAGAGATGGGGGTTTGATTTCACAGAGCTGTAATGAGGTTGGGCATCACAGTGATTTAACCCATGAAATACTTTATGTAATGAAGCCCATCAAGGAAAAACATCTTTAGGCAGGATTGGTGAAATTCTGCTCTGGTTTGTACCAGTGGAGATCTGGAGTCATGTCACAGGGGCTAAAGGAGAGAGTCCCAGTGGGACTGCCTGGAATTTGCCCTTGGCTAATGTCAATGCTGTTCCTTTTCTAGTCCTGTCCTCGGTGAACATTTAGCAGGACAGCCATGAAAAATGATCCCTTGAGGCTG